GAACTCTGAATTCACTACATTTTGGAGATGAATTGGGAAAATATGCCCACAAAGTCACTAAACTTTGATCCAATGATACTTTTACTAGGCTTATATCCTAAAGGCATCAAAGAAAGAGGAAAAGGAACCAAAGTATAAAAATATCTAAATAGCTCTTTTTGTAGTGGCAAAGGACTAGAAATGAAGGGGGATGTCTATCAATTGAGGAATGGCTAGATAAATTACAGTACATGAATGTAATGAAATATTACTGTACTATAATGATGAAAGAGATGGATTCAGAGAAACCTAGGGAGACTTGTATGAACTGATGCAGAGTAAGGTGAACAGGAGAATGATTTATACAATACCATGTGTCATTATAAAGTCAACAACTTTGAAAACCTTAAGAACTCTGATCAATTAAACACAATTCCAGAGGACTGATGATGAACTATACTACCTTTCTGTCTTTTTTTACATTAAAATTAATTTTTGTAATAAAACAAGCATTTCCATAACATAGTACAATAAAAAAGATGATTGCACATGAAACTGCAAATCTGCTATGTGCAATTTGCTATTCCTTTCAAATGTATAACAAAATTATCATGTATTTTTTTCCTTTTCTTTTTCTTTCCTCCCCACTCATCCCCTTAGAGATAGCTACCATTAGACACAGACATATATATATATGCATATATACACACATACACATATACATATATGTATGTGTGTATATATACACATGTATGTATATATATGCATATATGTAAAATTGTTCTATACATTCTATTTATCAGTTCTTTCTCTAGATGCAAATAGCATCTTTCTTCATATGTTCTTTATAGTTAATTTGGTTATTTGTAATAGTCAAAAGTAAAAAAAATAGTCACTCAAAGTCATTATTAAAACAATATCGCTGTTACTGTATGCAATGTCCTCTTGGTTCTGCTCATTTCACTCTTTATTATTTCATATGTCTTTCTATATTTTTCTAAGATCATTGAGCTTACCATTTCTCATAGCACAGTAGTATTCCATCACAATCATATACCACAACTTGTCCAGTCATTCCCCAATTGATGGACATCCCTGCACAATTTCCAGTTCTTTGTCACCACAAAGAGAGCAGCTATAAACATTTTAGAACATATAGATTCTTTTTTCCTTTCTCCCTAATCATTTTTGGAAATAGACCTAGTAGTAGTATTACTGGGTCAAAGGGTATTCAAGTGTGGGGAACCTGCGGCCTCAAGGCCACATGTGCCCTCTAGTGAAGGTGACGCCCTTTGACTGAATCCAAACATTACAGAACAAATCCCTGAAGTTTGGATTCAGTCAAAAGGCCACATTTGAGGACCTAGAGGGCCAAATGTGGCCTCAAGGCTGCAGGTTCCCCACTCTGGAGGTATTACCCTTTGGGCATAATTCCAGATTGCGCTACAAAATGGTTGGATCAGCTCACAATTCCACCAACAATGAATTCATGTCCCAATTTTTCCACATCCCCTCCAATATTTGTCACTTTCCCCTTCTATTATTTTGGCCAGTATATAGGTGTAAAGTGATATCTCCAAGTTGTTTTAATCTGCATTTCTCTAATCTATAATGGTTTAGAACATTTTTTCATATGACTATAAATTGTTTTGATTTCTTCATGAAAAGCTGCCTGTTCATATCCTTTGATCATTTATCAATTGTGGAATGACTCCCATTCTTATAAATTTGACAAAGTTCTTTATATATTTTAGATATGAGACCTTTATCTGATAAACTGTCTATAAAATCCCCCCCTAATTTTCTGCTTTCCTTCTGATCTTGGCTACAATTGTTTTATTTATTCAAAAACTTTATTTTAATGTAATAGATATTATCCATTTTACACCTAACCTTGCTCTCTTTCTGTTGTTTCTTTATAAATTATTCACCTATTAATAAATCGGATATGTAATCTGTTCCAGGTTCTTCTAATTTTCCTGCAAAATCTCTCTTTTTATCTAGGTCATGTATCCTTTTTCACCTTGCTAAATGGTGTAAGATATTGGTCTATGCCCAGTTTCTGTCATGATTTCCAGTTTTCCTACCTTTTTTTTTTAACCAGATAATGAATTCTCATCCCAAAATCTTAAGTCTTTACACTTATCAAATACAAGGTTATTATGTTTATTTGCTGCTGTAAATTGTATGTCTACTCTATTCTGTTCATCTACCTTTCTATTTCTTAGCTGGTACCAGATAGTTATGATAATTATTGCCTTATAATATAGTTTAAGATCTGGTACTGCTAAACTTCCTTCCTTTACTTTTTTTTTATTATTTCCTTTGATATTCTTGACTTTTTGTTTTCTGTTATTGCTACCCTTTTTTGACAGAAAAGTGATAGACTCAAGGCACAAAATGAGACATGTATTTTTGGACATGGACCATATGGGAAGTTGTTTTTAACTGTATGTGTGAGTGTATATACATATATACCTGTATATATATGTGGATGCATGATAGACAGACAGACAGACAGATAGATAGATAGGTAGATAGATAGATAGATTTGTAACATAGGTCTTTTTTTTTCCTTTTAAATTGTAAAGTGAAAGTAGAAGCTGAAGAAAATAACTGAAAAATAAAATACAACAAAAGACTGAAAAACATCACCTAAATGTAATCTACTTTGAGCCCTTCCAGCTTTAAGATTTCATGATTCAGGATCATGTTGAGTTTTATAACAATATTGTAAAGATAAACTTAGTTGATATTATTAAAAGGATTTTCTTAAAGTTTCTCCATAAGTTTTTTTTCCCTCCACATTCTTCCATTTTTATAAAGCTAAATATGATTGGGTTAGGGGTAAGCAGAATGGTATAGTGGATATAGAGCTAGCCTTTAAGCCAGGAAGGTGTGGGTTTAGGTCCCCCACATCGCTTAACCTCTCTGTGACGTTAGACAACTTTTTAAGATTATTATTCCATCATTATTATTATTAGATTTGGTAAAACAAAAAAAAAGAATTTTATTAACAAGAGTCCTTAACACCAATAAAATCACAGGTCTAGGATGTTCTTAATTCAAGTAAAGAAAAAAAAATTATTAAGACAGGGACTGAGGATTTTTTTTTTTGGTACTGGTTTGAATTGTTGTATTAGAATTATATTACAAACCATTATTATGCTATTATATTATATAATCAATGTATTGAAGTATGCTATAATGTGTTTGTGTATGTCTATATTATAAAATATAAATTATGTTAAAATTATTATATTAGATAAATTATAAACCTATTTTTATAACTGTTTTCTATCTTAGATTTTAGTATAAAAATAATAACAACTCCAATGATATTTCTGGTCTGTACCTGAGATTTTGTACCTCTAAGAAAGGGGTGCTCAACTTTTTTTAATGTCATTGACCTCTTTGTCACTGGAGAAGCCTATGCACTCCTCAGAATAATGTTTTTAAATGCATAAAATATGTAGTATTATTGAAACACATCAAAATACTTTTTTTAAAAGAACAAGTTCACAGACCCAACATTAAGAACCCCCATGCTAATAATATAAAAATTAATTTTCTTTAACGCAGCTCATCTCAAAACATGGTCTGGGGATACCCAGGGTCCCTGGAACCTTTTCTGGGAGTTCACAAGGTCAAAATTGTTTTCATAATAATACTAAGATGTTTTTGTTTCTAATGTGGTAAATAGTGATAGCTATCACCCCACAAACAAAAGCTCTTGGAGGGGCTCAATAATTTTAAAGAGTGTGAAGGGGTCTTAAGACCAAAAAGTTTGAGAATGCTATTTTAGCCAGCATGGTGAAAATGGGGAAAGAAAGAAAGGAGACATCTTTTGCACCTTGGATAGCAAATTATTTTAAAGCGATATTTTATAGTCATAACTATTTTCATTGAAATATTCTATCCACATTATTAACAATCATCAGTTCCCTACGTTAAAATCTGAAGTTGGCCTGTTTTGTTTGATGCATCTGTGATAGTAATTACAAAGAAGACGATCCCTAGACTTCTGTAATAGAGGGGAAGAGAGAGATTTAAGTTCTGACATACAATTCGCTAGTCTAGAAGTTGCCTCCTCCCCAGATAATCATCAGGCATGGAGTGATTTGTAAGCAGTGAGACTAATTCTGCTTTCTTCACTCACAGAAAGGTAGTTTAGCCACGGTAAGATTCTAATGAAGGTAAGGTTCACTGAAAGTGAAAACTTGAAGCTTTGAGGTCCTTATTTTCCAAATTAGAAAACTGAGGATCAGGGAGATGAGTCCCCCTTGTCCTCACTCACACAGAGCCAGCATTCAGACCCAGATTTCCCAATACTCCTTGCAGGAAGCTTTGTTCCCTCACTCCACTGCCCCTGTAATATATAAACTCTAAGAAGGCAAGAACTTTTTTATTGTTGTGTTTGAACCCCCGGAGTCAATTTATTATATAGCTTGTACCACATAGTAGTTTTTTTAAAACTGCTTTTGATTGATCCCAGTGGAAAGGGCGCAGGCTCTGGCGTCAGAGGAGCAAGTTCAGACACTGCCTCTGACATTTACTACCTGGGTGATTTGAGGCACGTCACTGACCTCTCTGAGTGTCCATTTTCTCATCTGTTGAATGAAGGTGTTGTATTAGACGGCCTCTGAGACTCTTCCCATCTCCAAACCTGTAATTCTGTGATTTGCCTCAACAAAGGACAAACCCCAGGGATGGCTGGAGCTGACTGTCATTTGCGGGGCTGGGAAAAGATGGGGAGCCAAGACCCCGGGGGGGGGCGGGAAAGGAGGGGAGGGAATGCTTCAGGCCTGCCCTCCCCTCTAATTCACTACCCCTCAATCACAAGCCGCCCTGACTGCCACCTCTTTTAGAGGATGCATCCGTCTCTGTGCTGGCTAGCGGCACGGGTGCACGCGTGGCTGTGCTTCTCTGCGCTGGGGTGAAGCAGGCTGCAGCAGTTTTTTCCCGGGGTGTTGACAGAGCCTGGTAGGCTTCTCCAGTGGGTGGTCCAGCACCTCACTTACCTCCAGGTAATAGAGGTCCAGTGTGGTAATCTGCGAGTCCAGAAAATCTTCATAAGTATTAAACTGGGTGACTATGTTGTCCACGACCGACACCCCCTCTTCATGCTCCATTGTGGTTACTAAGGGCGCGGCGTCCTTAGCAACCTGGAGCCCGGAGGAAGCTAAAGTAGCCCAGCTCTCCTCCGGCCCTCTTAATCACCTGGGGGAAGGGGGTCCTCCCTCCCCAGGCACTCGCTGCTTCTCCAGATCCCTAAGCCCGTCTCACTTTGTCCTGTTCTAGTTTTCTTAGAGGTTCTAGATCGAACTGCACCTTCGTACATTCCGACCTTTGCTTCACGTTCCATGAAGCTCCAAGGTTGGATATTTACTTGTCCCAAGTTCATTAATGAGCCGAAGTCATGTCAGAGGTAGGAAAAATGGAAAATAGAGCGAGACATACAAGAAAAGCTAAAATGAAGGGGAAATGTTGCGTCATAAAGTACGAACACAGATGCAACCCCTCGGTTTGGTCTTTAAATGCCATTTGCAGAAGTCTAGGAGTGTAACATCAGTAAGGATGCAATGAGGGTGATTTAAGTGGATGAAATCTGCACCGCTGGTCAAGCTCAGGTGTTACAGAGATGTTCTCCTCCTCCCCTTTCCTCTCTCTCCACCGGGAAGCCAAATGATTCCATTTAAAAAAAAATAATTTTGTACTTTGTGATGCCCCCATGTTGAAAAGGACAATTAGGTATTTGGTAGTGTTTCTTATTTTCTCCTTTAAATATTTAGTTTCTAAGCTTTTGACATATGATAAAGAGCTGGCTGATATAAATCCGATTTGTTTGTTACATTTTAAGTACGTCTTTGACCTTTCATTTCTTCCTCTCTAGAGATAAGATTAAAAGTGGGGAGTTGACTCCCATTTCGGAAGCTGATGGACTAGTAAGTGGGAGGTGAATTTCTGAACCAATAGGATGAAGCCGGAAGTCCGGCTGTAGACTCTTTATGCCAAGGAAAGAATCTGAGACTAACACTCTATTTTAAAAATGTGAACCAACACAGCCCCAGAAGAAAGTAAGCGAAGTTGGCTGCTGTTCTTCTTCTGGAAGGCGGAGTACAGAAGGTTTAAAAGGACAGCTATGTCCCAGAAGAGGAGTGAGTTTCTAGGACAGCTGTACCCAAGGGAAAGGAGAGGAGAGTGATTTTTCCAGACATAGGAGGAAGTCAGCCTTGCGCTTCGCCCTCCAGGCCCAGGAGTGATTGACAGCATTACCTGTTTTGCTTGACAAAGACGCCTTGTTTGGCTTTAAGTAAATGATGGAGAACCCAGTTTTTCCAATGCCTTTGCATTGTATCCGATTGGCTCTCTGAAGGTTCTATTGCCATTCTGGTGAGCTTAAAGGATAGAATGTTGAAGTGAATTTTATGCGGAAATTTTTGTTTTTAAATTTATGACTTTCATAGGATTGATTTGATTTTGATTTTGTTGCATCAGAGAATCAGAGCTGGAAGGGACCTCAGAAATCAGCTAGTCCTACAACGTTATTTTCCAGATGAGACTGGGTGATGTTAAGTAACTTGTCCACGATCACTGATTTGGTTCATACTGTGACTTGAACAATAGCGTCAAAATACTGTAGTCAGAGAGGACTCTAGTTTGAATCCTAATTTTGATATTTAATCACTTGGTGATGTTGGGAAGGACACAACCTCTCTGTACCTCAATTTCATCATCTTTGAAATGGGGCCATTGGATTAATGTCCCTCTCAGTTCTCAATCTATGATGCTAATTTGCAGAGAGGATTTGAACCTTGATCTCCTAACTCCAAATACAAGATTCTTTCTGTTTTACCATACTTTGAGTTCTTAAAACATGTGTGAAAATAATAAAACACAGCTGCTGGAAAGCTTTTCAATAGATATTTTAGAATTTTAATTACTTCCAAAAGCCCTTGAAATGTTAGCACCTTGTACGGGATTATACATGCAATATTAAATTGAATTAACTCTGTTTGAGAGCTAAACACATGCACACACACACACACAGAAGCACTAGACTATATAATTTTCACTTGGCAACAAGTGAATTACTCACCAAAAAAAACAAAAAAAAAACAGTAGTGTTAAAATCTAGGCAAAAGTATGCATGATAATATTTGGAATATAATAACTTGATTTTTAAAAAAATTAACATTATGAACTTTTAAAAAATAGTTTGGACATGACGTCACTTCTATTGTCAATAAAACCAAATATAGCAACTGAAAATGTTTAAATATAAATTTGTCACCAAAGTTAGGAAAAATGAGTGAAGGATAATAACATCAAAGGGGACTTGTATAAAATTACTAACAAGACAAATTACCTAATATCATAGTATTAAGTAGTGAATTCTTTTAAAATATATGGAAATGGCCAATGGTCAAGTAGTAAGAAAGGATCTACTCTAAATATTCCTAAATCACAAATAAGCTATCATCCTAAATCTATCTCAATGGATGATCCCCCAGCTTTTTTCACCATTGCTTGATCTATCCTTGGCTTCTAGTGGGATTACTATTCAATTCAATTTAATTCAATAAGCATTTATAACCATCTAATATAGGGCAAGGCACTATGCTAAGTGCTAAGCATAATGAAGAGAAATGCTTAAAAAAAAAGTAGCCCCTGCCTTTAAGGGGCTTAAATTCTACTGGGGATCATAAATTTAGATGAAGAAGGAAGCTTAGGGGGACATTTAGAAAAATTTTACAGATAATTTTTATATTTTATTTAGGAAAATTTATATTTTATAATTATATAATTTTACAGATGAGGTAACTGAGGACCAGTGCAGTTGATCAATTTGTTCAAAGTCATATAGATAGTAAAGAACAGAGCTGGTACTCAAACCTAGGTCCTCTGCTTTCAAATCCCAGTGTTCCTGCTACTCTACCAAAAAAACATGAGATCAGAGATTTGTAACTCTGGAAGGGAGCTTACAGGTCACTCATTTTACATATGAAGAAACTGAGGCCAACGGAGAGCAAGCAAATTGACCAAGGATAAAACATAATAAATGATGGAGTCAAGATTGAACTCTGGTCCTCTTCATTTCTGTCCAGGGTGCATCCCTCTGAACTACTCCATCATTTTCCCATCTCCCTAGCCACAGGTAGGTACCTTCATCCCTTTTCAGTTTCCTTTCACGTGTTGTCTTTCCAATTAGAATATAACCTCCTTGAGGGTAGAAATTATCTTTCTACTTGTGTTTATTTTCCCAGCACTTAGCACTATGCCTAAACTTAACAAATGTTTATTGACTGACTGATGGACTTTGACTCCGAACCCAGTGTTCTTTCTGGTAAAGGAAAGAAAATAGAAAATTATGGGAGGAAGATCACCAACAACTAGGAGGACTGGAGAAGTTTTCCCAGAGGATAAGGTACTTGAACTGAGCAGTGAAGAAAGCTAAGGGTTCTAAGAGACAGAAGTAAGGACGGAAGGCATTTCAGGCATGGTGGACTCCTGGTGCCAATGAGCAAGAGATAGTATGCTAAGAAGCAATGCAGTAGAATTGGTACTGGTCCTAGAAATTGGTAAGACTTGGGGTCAAGTACCCCTTTTCTGACTTTTTAAAGTCTTTTCCTTTTTAAGGAAAGGAAATGAGCATTTTTTAAACATTTATTATGTGTCAGGCCATAAAAGAACTATACAAGAAAGATCTTAACATTACTGATAGCCATGATGGTGTGGTTACTGATCTAGAGCCAGATATTCTGTGAATGAAGTCAAGTGGGCCTTAGGAAGCATTGCTTACAATAAGGCTAGTGGAGGTGATGGAATTCCAACTTGGATACTTAAAATCCTAGAAGATGATGCTGTTAAAGTGCTGCAGATTTGGAAAACTCAACAATGGTCACTGGAATGGAAAATAATAGTTTAGGTCCCCATCCTAAAAAAGAGCAATGCCAAAGAATGTTCAAATTACCAACAATTGCACTCATTTCACACACTAGCAAGGTTATGTTTAAGATTCTGCAAGCTAGGCTTCAGCAATATGTGAATTGAGAATTAACAGAAGAACAGGCTGGTTCTCAAAGAGGCAAAGGAATTAGAGACCAAATTGTCAACACTTGCTGGATGATGGAAAAAGCAAGGGAGTTCCAGAAAGAAAGAAAGAAAACAATTTACTTTTTCTATATTGACTACACTAAAGCCTTTTACTGTGTAGATCACAATAAAAGGTGGCAAGTCTTCAAAGAGATGGGAGTACCATTCATCTTACTTATCTCCCAAGGAACCTGTATGCTGGTCAAGGAGCAACAAAAAGAACCAAACTTAGAACAACAGATTGGTTTAATATTGGAAAAGGAGTATGACAAGGCTGTATATTGTCACCTTATTTATTTAAGGTATATGCAGGGAACATCCTGTGACATTCCAGGCCGGATGCATTAAAAGCTGGAATTAAGGTTGCCAGGAGAAATATCATAAATGCAGACAATGCCACTATGATGGCAGAAAATGAAGAGGAATTAAGAAGCCTTTTGATGAGGGTGATAGAAGAGAGTGTAAAAGCTGGCTTGAAGCCTAACATCAAAAAAAGCTAAGATCTTGGTAACTGATCCCCTCACCTCCTGGCAAATAGAGGGGGAAGAAATGGAAGCAGTATCAGATTTATATTCCTGGGCTCATCTGTCAACTGCAGTCATGAAATTAAAAGACGCTTGTTCTTTGGAAGGAAAGTTATGGCAAAGCTGGACAGCATCCTAAAAAGTAGAGATATCACCTTGATGACAAAAAGTCTATGTAGTTAAAGCTATGGTTTTTCCAGTAGCAGTGTGTGGCTGTGAGAGTTGGACTATAAGGAAAGCTGAACATTGCAGAAGTGAGGCTTTCAAATTGTGGTGTTGGAGAAGACTCTTGAGAGTCCTTTGAACAGCAAGGAGATCAAATCAGTCCATACTTAAATTAATTCAGACTATTCACTGGAAGATCAAATACCAAAGCTGAAGCTTAAATACTTTGGCCATGTGATGAGAAGACTGGACTCATTGGAAAAGATGCTGATGTTGGGAAAGATTGAAGGCAATAGGAGAAGAGAACAGCAGAGGATGTGATAGAAAGATAGTGTCATGGAAGCAATGAAC